GTTGTGCCCACAGCTGCTGCCAGGTGGGCAGGAGGCACCTTGCCATGACCATGTGGCTGGTGCAGGGTTCCCAGGCAAGGGCAGCAGGGTGGGGAGCCCCAAGCCCACAGCGGGCATCATGTCATCCCCCTCCCCCCACAGGCTCCACTTAGCTCTCTTCTGGCTGTGCCACAACTGGGGTGGGGAGGAGGCGGGCATGTGTCCCATCTTCCAATTTGGAAAAGATGGTCTCCCTAGGGGGAGAATGTGGTTGTGGGAGTGCGGGGGGCTGAGCCGCCCCCCCTCCCCATGGTGCATAGCCTTTGCTGGTGGCAGCAACAGCAAGCAGCAGGCCCTTGGAGCCTACACAGGCAGAGCCCCCTGTCAATGTGTGGCTCCAGCCACTTTCAGGAGCTGCACATGGCAGCAAGGAGCGGGGCCAAGCTGTCCTGCCTCCATCATGTGGGGCTCCCCATGGCTCATGTGCAGCCCCTGAGACCTGGCCAAAGCCACGCACTGTGAGAGGGGAGCCCCATGCGATGGAGCCAGTGGCCTGGATCTGCTCCCTGCCACCACATGCAATTCCCAGGACTTCATCAGGAAGCAGAGAGTAGGGCTGAACCATCCTGGCTCCGTTGCGCAGGGCTCCCCATCACTTCCGGCGGAGTCCTGGGAGCTGCACATGGCATCAGTGGTGAAGGCTGCTGGCTGCATCGCATGGGACTCCCCACAATTGGTGTGCGAGTCCTGGGAGCCCTGCGTGATGAAACTGGGCCAACCCACACTCTGTATTCCCACTGCCCCACTGGGCTTGGGCCCTGGGCTCCGTGCTTCAACCCAGCTGCAGCTTCTCTCCACCCCTCGGCACTTTCCTTCCTGCTGCCACGAGTGATGCAGTAGGGACACGAGGAGCTGGGGGAGCCGACCAGCAGTAGCCGCAGCCCCACCTGGGAGCTGTGTGCTGGCCAGGGCTGGGGCCAGGGCCTCCCCCACCTGAGGCTGGGAGCATAGCACATTGCCCTGGCAGGAGTGGTCGGGGCTTGGGTCCCATGCGATTGCAGCAGAGGCAGCTGCGGGCCAGGTATGATGCAACTAATTGGTGGGCACCCGCCCACAGGCTGTATGAAATCACCTGATCCAGCTTGCAGGCCCTATTTTGCCCTCCCTTGGTGTAGACCAGGGAGTCTGAAGTTCTTCAGAACTTCAGTACTGTCCTTCCAGTTCATTCAAAGGGAGAATCCTTTTTCACCTTGAAACCAACCCTTCCTTACATTAAGACCTAGGAAGATCATCTGGATTTTTAGTCCCCATTTTGCCATCAACTTGCTGTGTAACTCTGGACAAGTCAATTAATATAAATGTTAAAAAACACACTTGGGGCTGTTTGTTTACTCTTTTTCTGTTTGCTTCAGCTGTGACTGTGAAAGGATTCATTCATTAATACCATGTTATATGTAAAAACACAGCAAAGCAGGCAAAAACACTCAGAAAGATGTCTTGCTCATCCTGTTGCCATTAGAATGAGGTCTCTCTCACAGATTCAGGCGACTGGCGATTAGTAACCAGCTGCAGATGCTACCAGCAGCTGCGAGAGCGGCCAGAGACAATCGGCAACCACTGCAGACACTGCCAGTGTGGGGGGGAGTGGTGACCGCCCACAGACACCGCCAGCAGCAGTGAAGGTGGCCAATCTTAGGGGGTGCACCACCAATTTCCGGGGGTGCATGTGCACCTGCATGCACCCCCTACATGCCACCAGTGAAAGGAGGAGGCACGAATGCACTGCTGCACCCCGCTCTGGATCCACCCTTGGCCCCAGGCCTCCCTGCACACAGACAGCAACAGCATTGCCAGGTCTCAAATATGAAATTATCATAGCAGAAGCTCAATATGATTGTATTTGCTGAAAAACTATGACTTTATATTGCTCACTGTAAGTCGCCAGTGAGTGAGAACTGGGTCACCAGAGTTGAAGCATTTCTTTATTTCAAGGCAAGCCATCATGAGAAAGTGCTGACAACAAACCCAGACGTCAGTTAAGCCTCCCTGACAGTGGCTTGGGTTTTGTATCTGCTGCATCAATTAAGTGCCTCGAAAATTATCGTATGTTTTGAGGACAAGGTTCTTTGGGTAAATCTGGTATCTTTTATTAGACCAACTCAAATAGTTAGAAAAATTCTTCTTTGCAAGAATTTTGAACACTTTTATTACATGTGCTTTTTAATTACTTATGACATTTTTAAGTTTTACTGTTTTATTACATTTTTCAAGTACATATAATTATTACTTTATTACTGCAGTTTGAACACCTTTTATTATTGCTGGCACATAGCACAAGGGTTGAAATGACTACGACAGTCATCGTACATCTAGCACCCCTGGACTGGCTGTGCAGAGCCCCTCCCTGCCATACTGGCTCGCAAGCACTCAGGGAGCGCGGGCGGGCACGTAACACACGATCTTCATTCTCATGAACGAGGGGAGAGGGCGGAGTAACGTCTCGCGTTGCTCACGCTGAGGCTTTGAGCCCGACATTTCGAGGCCGCCCGCCTTCCCGCCAATACTGGCGCAAGGGACGTCAGCGACCCACAGAATCAACCGAAGCAGGAGAGGGCGGGGTGACGTCAGTGCTCCGGATGCGGAAGTTAAACATGCTTTCGCCGGAACAAGGCCGGCACTGCAGCGCCTGCTCAGCGATGGGTGCCCAATAGCGCCGGGGCAGAGGTGGGGGAAGAGGAGGTGCCGCCCCGTCCCGGAGCTGCTGCAGCGCAGGGCGAAAGCAGCGATGGAGCGCGGCGCGGTAACCGGGCGCGCTCTCCTGCCCCCCTGCCTCCG